GTTATATGAATAAATCTTAATAGGATTTATGAACAGAGAATCTGTATAGTAGAAATCCTAAGTTAGTGAAGTAGTATAGCTTTTGATAATCATACCAGCTAATGCTTAATCTGAAAAAGAAACTGTACTCTAAAAATATGAATTGAGAGAAGTGTGAGTAAGTCTATTCTACAAGAAGAATTAGCAACACCAACTTAGCTTGGTAGCTAACTAGATTAGAAAGATCTACTTCATGAAACATCTGAAGAGATTAGCAAACAAAAAACTAGTCGAGAGCTATAGTAGGAACTAGAGTTATACAAATATCTATAAGGGTCTAAGCTAGATAAATTTGTGAAATAGGTATGGAATGCTCTAATAGGTTTACTTCAAAGTTTACTAAAGCTCTGCGAGCTCACAATATGTTAAGTAATAAGCATCTTGAGAAGATCTAAGCTAGAGTTAAAAAATAGATTTGTAATGAGTTAGCTAGCTTAAGCAGTTAGATATTATAGTGATGTTAGTTTGTAATAGTATAGATTAGTTGAACAGAGTATTTAAATAGGTAACTTATAGGCAGGTTATAGATATGATAGCATAGTGTAGAACTAATTAAGTGATCTATTATCTGTACAGCAGACTACTTAAATTATATAATGACTAAAATTATATGTATAGCTTGTTATATACTCTTCATATAATTACAAACTATAGAGATTGCCTATATGTAATCTCATATATCAAACTAATAAAAATTGCCTAGTAATATAAGCCACTTTAAAAATAAAAAAAAAAGATATTTAGAAATGAATACTATATATAGTAAAATTGTTATATGATATTATTAGAACCAAATGTATTAAGATATTCAAGTATATATACACTCTTATACAAAATACTAAAAGAGATTAAAAACTAGAAGAAAGGAACTACTCTATTCAATTCAAGTAGAAAGAGCTTTTGAACAAATTAGTATTGATCTAGTAGGACCTTTATCTATTATAATGCAAAATAATTGATATATAATAGTTGCAACAGACTATTTAACTAAATGGTCAAAAGCTAGAGCTATTTCTAATACTAGGCAAATACTCTTGCAAAGTTTATATTTAAAAAAATTATCTATAGACATAGAACTTCGAAAATAATATTTTCAGACTAAGAAAGAAACTTTATAAGTAAAACAGTTAAGATTTTATATGAAAAATTCTTAATAGTATACAAATTCTCATCTGCATATCACTTTCAAACAAATAGAATAGTTGAAAAACTTAATAGAATATTATGTGAATCTCACTAAAGTGAAAGAAAATAATAAATGAGATCTATATATACTAGCTATATTGTTAGTATATAGAATCAAGAGACATACTATAATAGATATATACTTTTTCAGCTTATATATAGTAGACAAACAATTCTACTGATTGAAACAATACTGCTAATTGAGCCTATAGAAAATAAAGAAATAGATCTAAATGATAGTATACTACAATGAGTATATAAGCTAATAAAAAAATTATTCTTATATCACCAAAATACAAGAGATAACATAGAGAAATAATAGCAAAAACAGAAAGAATGTGTAGACAAATGAGTTTATTTTGAAGACTTTAAAATAAAAGAAAAAGTTTGAATATAGTAAAAAGATATTGAATACTCTCACTTAGCAAAATTTGAAAATAAGAGAACTGAACCTTATATAATATAAGAGAAATTAGAAAATAGAGTTTACAAAATAAGAACAGAAGATAGAAAAATATTAAAAGGATATTATAATAGTAATAAACTTGCTAAATATTATGAGAAGCAAATATAGAAACCAATAATTGTTATTTAAATTTCTGAAAAGAAATTTTTATTAAATAGATAAAATTAGTGAAACAGATATTATATAACCTTAAAAATATATATAGTACTGAAATTTAACAAAAATTTTTCTAAAAAGAAATAGATGAATTAATACTACAACTTCAAACTTTAATTATTTTATAAAATTTTTTTAAAAAATAGTACACAGACTCTGTATTATAATATTACTTTAGGATTATTTTACAAAATATTATTTTGTCTAATAATGAAGATATTATTCAACAAGTTGATCTTACTTTTATAATTACTGAAATAGAGAATATAATTGATAAACTAGAAGCAGATTATACTGCAGCAATGATGCCAATTATCAACCTGAACTTTGAAGAGCCACTCTGTATATCATCATAAATTAGTGTAATATTTGTTTTGAAATAATAATAATTCTTTATTTTCTATTATTAATAGCATAAATACCTTCTTTTTTATATAATAAAAAGTTTTATTAACTAACAAGCAAAAATTTGCATTTAAAAATAATAATACTCGATAAATATTGCTTAATATTAACATAATAAAGGTCAATGCATATAATATATAACTTTTTTGATCTAAATTTAACTAAACACTATGGTATGTATAGTAATAATTACTCATTATTGTTATTACTATTTCTAATTTTAATTGCTATTACAATCAAAAATTTTTATTTTGCATTTTAATTTGCACTAGTTTAGACACTCAAATAAAGTATCAATACATACAATTTGTATTTTATCTATCACCGCATACTGAGTATTATTGCTTTCATATGAGTTATTTCAAAATAAATTACTTGCATATAAATGATCAATAATACTGTAATAAAATTCTAAGTTTAGTATATTAAACCAGATATTGAACCCTTAAAATTATTTGTACATAAATAAAATCTAAGTTTGGTATATCAAACCAGATATTCAACTCTTAAAATTTGATATAAACATGAATTAAAGTGTTTGGTATTTGGTTTAAAATATCAAATTTAGTTCATAAGAGTAGAAATTTTTATACATATATTATGAGCTTTAAGACTATGAGCACCACTTTTGCTAAAAATAACAATTTTAATCTTATTCATTGTACTTTTTAAATTAACAGGACAATTGAATCTATAAATTTCAATTGTTTTATAGTAGTAATGCATAGGGCTCGTACAGTAAAATCCACAAAATTCAGTTTTGATTTGAAAAAAGTGATAAGTTTAGATGTTTCAAGATATATCAATAGCATTCTTTTACTAAAATTCCTGTTTCTGCTTATTTTAAGTTAAAAGTTTTGATAAGTATTATTCAGAATAGCATACTGTAGAACTTCAATCTTTTATAAATATTGATCAAAATAAATAACTTTCGAGCTTAAATACTCTAAATTTAACAAGCTGTTAGCAATTATAAATAAAATTTACTAAGTATGACAATTTGTAATTTTAAAAAAAGTATTAATATAAAAGTAATTTACATAGTATACTGACAAAGCCTTTAGTACATAAAACCTAATCTTACATTAGTAAATATACTAACATGTTAAAATACAAAGTTACAATTGTATTACAAGATGAACTAATACAAAACTTACATTTTGGACTATATGCTAAAGATTAGTAGATTTTACATCCAACTCATAATAATTTAACATATACACTTCTCTATTTAATTCATCTTGGGATGAAAACTATAACTACAGTAAACCAGTATGACTTTATAATTACAATTGTTCAGAATAATTTTGAACTCGGGTATATATATCAATTAGAAGCTTTACAAAGTAATATATGTCAAAGTTCCTCAGAAGCAATTATTTCTATATATCAACAAGCTTTTTCTACAAAAACTAGATTAGATAGTCTCTTAGTTATAGGTTATAATGATTCAGAAATATGTAAAATATTACTTGCTGATATTTATTTTTATCCTTATACTTTTAAAATTAGAAACTTAAATATGATTATTTTTGAAATTAGTAAATCGAACAACTCTGATTGGAATTATACTAGAAAAGGATACTGAAGCTCTTTTGTACATAACTTTCACAAAACTCGAATGATATTTTTTCAAAAATTTAATAATAATAATACGATTGTTAGAATTTATTAAAATTTTTAAGAAATTTGAATTTTTCGTGATACTAACTCTAATTCTGTTTAGAGTAAAATTAGTATATTAGCATAATTTACAGAAAGCATGCTATTTGGACTTAAATATGAACAAACAAAGTCAGAAATCAGCAAAGAACTAACTCTTTCGTATACTGTCAATGATTTGAAAAATGAACAAATAATGAATATACTTTTTAATTATCATCTGAGAAGATATATCAATATATCTATAATTTAGAAAAAATTTTTTATTAGCTAGTAGAATCAAGAAAGTGATCTTATTGAATTAACAACAAAATTACAAGAAATATACTCACCAAACTATATAATTAAAGGTCATAAATTGCATGTCTGGAGAGCTTTATTACAACATACAGGCTGTACTAATATAACACCTTTCAGAAAAGAATCTGTGATAAACCTTTTAAAATAAATAAATGATAAACAAATATATACTGTGCATCAGATTAAATTATGTGTCAGATTTCATACACCATATGGAATCCTAGATTCAAAAAAAAAGTTTGTATTAGATTAAAATTTAAAGTGGAAATGAGTAAAATACAACAACGTTACTCTAATAGTATTTTACTATGGAGGTATAAAAAAAAAAAAAAAAAAAAAAAAAAAAAAAGTAGGGATGAGAATAATTTTTTAAGATAACATAAATATTAATCTGCATGCACAAATATATATATAATATATGTATAATTCTAACTTTACAGTTACTTGTAGTTTGAATTTTGAACTTGATCAAAAGACTCAGCAAGTGACCAAGTGATGTTAAAGCAGTTGTACAAAGTAGATATCTTAGTACTACTTCAGAAAATCACAAAAAGGTCACAAAACAATTTTGAAATATATTTCAGAATGCTTTAGATGTTAACATTTGTAGAATAGATGGAAAGAGAAGAATATTGTCAATTATTGCAGATAAAATTCCTAATGAAATAATCAAAAAAAGTTATCAGTTAGTATCTAAGCAATATTAAAATATTTTTAAAAAACTTTTGAACTAACAAAATACTTAACTTAGGTTTCAAACTATCTAATTACTGAAGCATGCAAATATATGTGTATTAATAGTCCGAGAGGTATTCAACTTGAAAAACCTAAGATTACTTTAGAAAAATTAGTATCAGAAAAGAAAGAACAAATTGAGTATTTTTTTCAAAATAAAGCAAATGTAGTAATGAGCTCTTACAAATCAGATAGTACTACTGGATTACCTGTATATTATTTAAAAAATAATAAATAGGCTTTATAGAAACAGTTTTATGAAAAGTATTC